GCTTTGTGCGATATGTGTTTGTGTTTGTCCCTCAAATTTTTGAAATTTGGGCATTCATAAAGGCTCCAAAGCATTCATAGAATAGGCCATAACATTCATCTACACCATTTATTCACACACTCACATATAATGAAATACCCTCCCCCCACCCCACACTTAAGCTCGTGGCGGGTCTAGTCGCAGAGGCTTTTCTGGTGAGCTTTTTGGATTTTCGTTTGTTGGAATTTGTTTGGTTGGTGCGCGCCACGGGAGCAAGAGCCGGCGGAAGCTAAAATCCCCCAATCAGAAGTGAGGATTCCACGCCTGGGGGATTTAAGGCGCGACCCGGGGATTTAAACAAGAGGATTTCCCCGAGATAGAAGGTGAAGTCCATGCCTTAGGGTTTGATGATCCCGATTCTCAGATATATATGGAAATGGGTTTGCAAAACCTTTCCGCATGGGATATGAGGCGAATATAGATTTAGATATTTGAAAATAAAAATGAGAATAATTTAGACAAACCCAAACCAATGCATCAGCATAATATTTTGATCCAAAAAGCAAAGAGAGTTGGTCTATTTTCTAATGGGGACAGTTATCGTCACTTTTTAAGAGTTTTTATTTTACCAAATGTGAACATGATGAAAGCCAACGTGAACATTTCATGTATCAAAATAATGGTTTAGAGCTACAAAAGTTTTTATGTATTTAGAAACGGGATTTAATTATATATCTTGCTTTTTCAAGTAATTTGAGTAATGTAAATAACCTCATCACCATTTAGTACGGAATTTATCAATCAAACCTAAGGTGGTGTTCTATTCGTAATGAAGAGTATCAGACTCTAAATTCAAATTTTTGGGTCCAACAACCATCTAAAATAATCATCAATCAAAAAATTAATCAGAGAATATAATTAACTACTCTTAAACCTTAAATCTTAAGACCATCAATGAAAAGAAATTTTAAATGGATTTTGTGAAAATTCATGCATTTTCTTATCCATCACATAACAAGTGACTATTGACATCTCGTTTTGACATGAATCGCCTTCTCAACGTGATGATTGTGAGGCAAGTGCATAGCATGATAAAAAATATAAGTGCACCGAAACCATAATCGTGAATATTATTTATTTAATATATATAAACGTAAACACACTTTACTGTTCACTAAAAACACGATGATTACGTCAGTTCTTACATAAGCATTGGGCTTTTAATTTGTTGGCCCAAATAACCACTATTGCCGCCTGCAATAAAGAAGAAGAAAAAAAAGAATGAGCCTTGTGCCATTAACTAGCGAGCATGATTCTTTTAATGGGTAATATATTTACGACCCAAACTTTTTATAAATTAAATATCCTGATCAATTTTTTTATCTATAATATCGTGGTCTCAACTATGCATCAAAATTATGAAATTGGCTAAACTCAAGATTTAACCGTTATGTTAGACGACGGTCAACGCGACATTTCACTTCCAAGTTAGCTCAAACCACTTAAACTTTTAGATTATGTCCACCTAATACCATTTATATTTTATTTTGAACAAAAGAAGAAAAAAAACGAACGTTTGTTTTTATTTTTAAACATATATATGGTAATAGGTCGAAAAAACCAAAAAATTTAAGTGGTCTGTACTGATTTGGCAGTGACGTGGCGCGTTGACCGTTAGTCAACGCGTTCGACCGTCTAATATAACGGTCAAATCTCGGGTGTGGTAAATTTCATAACTTTGATGCATAATTGAGTTCACGATGTTATAGATCGAAAAGATTGGCTAGCATGTTTAATTTGTGAAAAGTTCGGGCCTTACAAATATATTAACCCTTCTTTTTGTGACTTATTAATACCGTACTAGATTCGTTGACCGGACCAATAGAACCTCCAGCCGGTTGCAGCCGTAGAATGATTTATGTGTTTAGACTATCAGTTAAGTATCGGTCTTAAGTGATTTACCGAATGGATAGTAACGATTAACTATTGATTCGTGCATCACTAATTTCAAAAGGTTGTAAAATCGCACCGAAGGTTATATCGGACAAGTCAATGTTAGGATATTTATTCTTAAATCGTGGTTTAACTGTAGCGGCACGGTTTGATACTGTAAAATCTATACCGATTTGAGCTCCGATATCCAATTGAACCACTGGTATGATACGATTTACTACTGTTTTTTTTCATTTAATCATTCAATCCGGTTCAAAAATATTGTTTCCTACTAATTATTGGGCTAATGTGGAGTTCCACTTTTTATTTCTTTGTTTCTCTAGAGTGTTCCTTGCCACTTGTGCTAGGAATTTCCAACCACCATTATAAATGGTAAATAAAGAACCATTTATAAACAACTATCACTACAGATACATCGTTGAAAAATATTAAATCTAAAAAAATAACCATAACAACGCAATAGGTGATAAGTGTATGTAAAAAAAATATTTGAAGAATTAGAATAGAAAACAAGTCCGTTTTGTGAATTAGTATATCAAATAAGTGCATACATGCATTAGAAATATATATTGTGAATTAGTATATCAAATAAGTGCATACATGCATTAGAAATATATATGTATGTATTTGTTAAATGAACACTCTATCATTGCCTAACTACCACTTTAACTACGTCAATTGCTAGATAGTTATACATTTGTGTATTAATAAGACCATTCACTATTTTTTGAAACTCGGTCTCTCCTCCGGACGAATCATGGGGAGTACTGCTCGATCATTTCTAATAATTTAAAGCCCCAATAAATATTCTTTTATGCATAATTTTTTTTGATAATTTAGAAATTCTCTCTTACTAATCCTTTGTGTATCTTGGTCTTTCTAACCATCTACTCATATTTGCTCAATCACTACTTAGCATTAGGGTAATAAATACATCTAAATAATAGTGAAAACTAAATACTAAATAATGGTAACAACAATAAAATTACACTACAAACAAATGACAACCACCCCGCACAGCGGCAACGCGCATCATCATAGCCTAGTTTGTTTTTTAAACTCAAACTTTGTAAGATCTGGATCCTGTCTCAACTTTCTTTTTCTTCCCGCTGATATTTGGTGCTGTAATGAATGTATTATACCAACGTTGGCATGCATGTAGCTAGGTCGGTAGTAGGTCGTTGTTCTCTACAACTTGCACCCACCAATTAAGTTGCTAGCCAGCTCTTTGGTGGAAGCAGGTAAATTCCAGCTACATCCAGAAAAGTCTAACTATTTTATATATAAGTTAAGGCCCTTGTTAGCTAGAATTAACAACTATATTGAGCAGACATCCCAACTACGAAAACAGTCTTCATGCATGCTGATTAAGTCACCTAAACCCATTTGATATAAGAATCTCGGAATCAGAACATGGAGGCGGTTATCTTGTCTGCATGAAACATTGTTTAAAAAATTCATTCATTAGAAGCAACTGAAAGAGGGGTGAAATGAAAACTGAGTGGGTAATCCCAACATTTTTCTCATTAAGAAATTGTTTGTTGTGGGTTTATACTTTATACGCATGGTTTTGTTTTCTAGCGCATCATGGTAGATAACCATCTTAGTAATACTTTATACTGCGCACTTTTAATTTTAGAGTTCTTACGAGAACTTATCAACGAAAACTGGGCATTTTTTGTTTGTTAGGATTGAATTGTTCATTATGAATCATGGGCATCTTTTGTACTTTGTCGACGTGAGATTTGTCTAAAGTGTTACAGTACTCCCTCCTTTGGGACTCAATGTCTTCGTTGAGGTATCTCCCACCCGTTCAAGAGGGACGCGAAGAAGTTTTGTTATCACTTAGCTTGTTACATCTCAACCCTTTTATGACCAAAATATTGCCTACTTTTGGTCTACCCTCAAGAGATTTTCTTTTGGGCACATTATGGTGGCTACCGGGGACCATGCATCTTTGCATAGTGCTCCAAAATGAACATGTTCAACTTCAGAGTTCGTACAAAACTCGTTTTTTATATAAGGGTGATATAGTATTAATTAAAAGGAGAAAATACAACAATTTACAGAAGTTCAAAAATACCCCATTGGGCCAGAACCCACACGCGGGAACTGCCTTCTTGAAAGCACCAATGGAAACAAAAAAACAAACGTAAACGCCCAGGACATGAGAGGCAGCAAAACGCACACAGGGAAGACAACAGAGGATCCGAGACAAACTGACAAGCCCATTACAGGGGAGAAACAACTAAAATAGCAAACCGACTAATCGGTTAGTGGTTAACCGATAACCGCTTACTAGTATAACCATATAGTTTTGGTCTTTGACTAAGAAAAAAAGTCCAATGTTTCAGAACCAACCAAAGTTACAATTCCAGAAATCTAAAAAATTTCACTTATGAAGGACCAGGATTCGAAGGTTCCTTGGGGGCAATTGCAACATTATTGATCTTATGGTCTTGTTAGACTTAATTTAATCATCTCGGACAAAGATAACATACATGATAGAGATGTCCATTATTTTCCACCGTTAAAGTAACATAACTCAATATGATTTTCAACGGAACCGGTACATAGGGATAGGACAGCATATTGATCAACTTGGTAGGATTAGTTGACTGCCAGGCTATAGCTGCCGCCCACTTGATCATTTTGAAAGGGGATGACAGAGGTACGTTGGTCCGTAACTATGATTTTTAAAATGGGTTAGCTTTATTTTTATTAGAGGTGCTAATCGGTTCAGTGTCGATTAATCAATGAACAAAAAATTCATATCAGTAATTGAACCATCTCTTATCGCAGTTCGGTTAGCAGTTAGTTTGGCGATTAACTACTAACATACGTTCCAACACTATAGTCATATGATCAGATTTGGCGAAGAGCTTTTCGACCACTAGATGGACCGTCCTATTCACTCTATGGTGAACAAAACGAAAGCAACAATAGTGAAAACATCAATGTACTAGCTGAATTTCCTCGAGTATGGCCCCGCCATGCATCCTGTTGCACTCCATCTGTCACCTTCTCAAGTACCATCTATACATCATCTACAAAGGCTAACTATTGAACGTTACTAGACAAACACTAAAACACTACCAAATTGCATCTCGAACTGCTAGAAGCTCAACCAAGAACAACTCTTCCATATCATTATACAACTCTTCCCACATGAGATATCAAAGAAACCCTAGCATGTGGCATAGCCTCCCACTCCCCCAGTCTTAGAGGCATACTGGGACTACTTGTTCTGATTGATTGCATAATTCTCAACAAGATTAGGAGCCAACAAAGTATGAATACAAACTAAAGCTGAAGTCTTATAGTTTGGTTTTGGTTTAGAGGCCCAACTCGTCCCCTAACAAGTGCGGTTTGTCCAATCAGTTGACCCATCAATTCCTTTATACAAGATTGACATTGGCATTTGTTGGAATTTTGGTTGAATCAAACTAAGCGAGTCAAACCGGTTTTTAGGATTGCAGTGACCAAACTAGTTTAGGGTTAGACCGACCAAATCAAATATTCTAATTAAAGGAAGGGATACATCACTTTGATTTAGCGGCAGTTTTATTTTCATGGATAAGACAAACCTTATGGATAAGGATAAACTTTCATATGGATAAAGACAACATTTCATTAGACAATGCATGGATTCAAACCCTAAAAATAGATGTGCGAGGCGGATGATTCAACACATGATCAAACTAATTTTCTTCTTCTTCTTCTATCGAAAAACTTCTAAGTTTGTTTAACATTTTTAAGTCTAGAGCCTAGATTGGTGATAGTGTAATTCTCGGTAGAAATTTCATGTAACCCAAGGTTTCGTGGGACGTGGAGCGTAGAAATATTCTTTTCAGAAAGTGAACGTAGTTCATGACTCTATCACTATCCTAGTCTCTCGGTTTCGGGAAATCGTACGTACAACCTCGTCTGTAAAGACCCAACAATCGAAAATAATAATTTCTGGTACGATGGCTCAAGATACTCTTTAGAAAAAAAATTAGTTATGGTATATGGAAATGCTGAGAATTTTCGACGGTGAGAATTTTAATTAATGGTAGTAAAAATGTGTTTTCTTTTTACTACTCTTAAGGTATATTCCATGTCCGAAATGTAACTTGGAAGAGGAAGGAGTCAAAGATGAGGAACAAGGAGGATGCTTTGTGAAACGAAGAAATAGAATAATATATACCTTTGTGTAGATCACATACTTAATGGTTTGTCTCATTCCTTATTCGACATTTACGAAATTCTATACGGATTTGGATATGTCTAGTGGTTTGATGATGTGGTTTTGTCTAGTTTTCATGTTAAACTTAGGAAACAAAAGCGTATATACAATGTGTGATGATCTAACAGTGGAGCCATCATATGCTTTTATGTAGATGATGTGCTTATCTTTGGATCCATTCAGATAAGTGAACTTTACTAAAAAGCTATTGTCATCTAAACTCTCATGCACAACACGAGGGAGTCATATGTGATTCTGGATATCAAATCAAGTGAACCGATAAAGAAGTTCCATTGACTTAATCTCGCTACATTGAGAAAGTGCTTGATCAATTCCATAGTGAAAATTGTCGGTTAAGACCCTAGGGATCTAAGTATGAAACTTATGCTTAATAATGACCCACCAGTTTCACTACTGGAGTATTCCATATTAATTGGGTGCTTGATGTATTCAGTGAATTGCATAAGACTAGATGTCGCATATGCGGTAGGACAATCAAGTAGGTATACGACTAATCATAATGCTCATCATTGACATTGCAATGAGGCCTGTACTAGAATATCTCAAAAGGCACAGTGCATTATGCATTGATATATAGTGTGATTTTCATTCAATTTGGGAGGATACACTGATCCTAGTTGGATTTCTGATCTTAAAGGTAACCTGACACTAAAAAGAACACGTGCATCACTAGTTCCACTATGAAGTCAAAGTTTGTGGCTTTGACTTCTTGCGGAGGAAAGGCAAATGGATGGAAGACTTGGTTTATGACATTCCTTTTTGGTCGAAACAATTCTTACCTATTACTATATTTTGTAATAGTAATGCAACTTTGGCTAATGTATATAGACAAGTGAAAATGAAAATTTGATCATATGGGAGTTAGACGTGGTAAAATCTGAGGATTGATCACTTGGAGTTGTGTTCATAAAATATGACTGGGCTTAAGAAAGTTTAGTTGATCGTTTGATGAAATGATTGGCTAGTGATTTGATAGTCAAATTTGCGAAAGGAATGGTTTTAAAGTCTATATAATTTATGATGAAGTGATATCCAATTCCCTTAATACAATGTTAGAGGCTGAACGAATTAGTAGGGCAATGGGAGGAGGTGGAGCCGGCCGAAGCAGGAGCAGGAGCTGGGAGGACGAACGTCGTTCGGAGCAGGGACAGGACAACAAAGAGAGGCAGCAGGGCTGGAGAACACAGATCGACGAGCGACGAGCCGGGAGGATGGACGTCGTCATCGTTGCTAGGTTGGCTGAGGGTTGCGCTCGCCAAATAGACAAGCGACGGGGAGCATCGACCAGTTTGGGGTGGAGCTTTCAGAGCTCGTCTCTTTCTGTTTCCTTTCCAATTTCCACGAAATGGTAATTAGGGTTCAGCTTTAGAGAGAGAACCCTATGTTTTTATATTTTTATATTTTCTAATTTTTTTAATTAAACTAAACGACCGAAGGGAAAAAAAATCAAGCGAGCAGCTCAAGCGGTTAACCGCCTCGACCACTCGCCGACCGCTTTACAAAAAATTGTCGCAATTTTTTATTGTTGCGAGCTGGTTTGGAGGTCGGGTGAAAGTTTTACTGGTCGGATCAACTCGATTTTAATAACAATGATAATTACCATAATACTCTTACTAATTATATAAGCACCCTATTCGATCTGATCCGGCAAGCAACCCCTTCCCCAAATTAGCTTATTTCTCAACTTGTAGGGATCGTAACGGGTCGGGCAGAGGGCGGATAGTGCATATCCGTTATGCTATCCAAAGTAGTTCGGATTTTACATATACCAATACCCACGTAAGAATCAGACACAAAATCAAAATCATACCCATACTCGCTCGGATTTCGGGTATCCATAGTTATCCATGGATAATAATTTATTTTTATAACTCCAACCAACATGTTAACATTCACACGTATGTTCACGTTACAACATAAGTGAATAAGTACCAAAATAATTCATTAGAATAAAGAAAAATAATTTCAAATAACGCAATTTTATGAAAATATTATATTTGTATGCTAAATATAAGATATTGTTGGAAAAATAATGATAATTTCCTGAAAAGATATATATTGATTGTGTATAATCAGGCGGGTTCGGGTTGGATAGTGAGAAAATCATGTCCATCCATTTCCCCCAATATTCGAGTTCGAGTTGTACCCATAACCACTAAAAATTCTTCAAATTCAAAATTTACTCTACCCAATTAAATCGGATTCGGACAGATATTTTCCAATTCTAAGCAACGCCTTGCCTAATTAACTAGCAATACTAATAAATAATGAATAACAGTTGTAGTATTATTGACCACATGTCCCTCTCAATGACCCATGCCTTACTTCATCACAAGAACCAACATGAAATATGGAAGCTGTAAAGTATATTTGAATGATGATTCCGCATTTAGCCAGACGCAAATTAACAAAGACAAAAGACTGCATCATTAGTTTCGGTCACTGGGCATAAACTCATTTAAAATTTTAAAAAAAAATTAAGGGGTGGTTTGCTTGTTGGATTTGAAAAATGAGGGTTCTAACTAGGGGTGGGCATTCGGTCGGTTCGGTTTGAACCGAACCGAAATGCTATATACCGACTTTCCGAAGCTTCCCACACCCCGACCGAATTCGAACCGAAATATATTTCGGTTCGGTTTGATCGAACCGAAATATATCTCGGTTCGGATCGGTTTTATTGCCATAAACCGAAACTGGCAGCTCTTTGCGTTTTGCCCTACTGACTCTTGCGTTTTGGCTCCTGTCGCTGGGCAAAATGGATGGAGGCCTCCATTTACCCTATCTTTTCAATTCTCCCTGACTCCTCAATGACACCCTCTCTCTCTTCCGCCCTCTCACTTCTCCCTGCCTCCTCCGATCTTCCACCCTCTCTGTCCCTCCAACCAACTAACAAGGCGGCGGCGACCGGCGATGGCGAGCACAACACAGCTGAATCCTCTAATCTTCCCCCTCTCTCTCCCTCCAACCAATTAACGAGCTGGCGGCGACCGACGACGGCGAGCACAACGCAGCTGCCGCGACGATAGAGATCTCTGCCTCCAGTCTCGAAGCTACACGGCGACGGTAGAGATCTTTAAGGGTTCGAAAGTGCAGAAATCCAATCGAAGGGCGGCGGCAGGCAACGATTGACGACGGCGATGGTGATAACTTCAATGACGAAGGTTCGTACAAGTTCAAATCCAAGCATGCATGACATTTTTTGGGTTTGTATTCTCATTCGAGCTTCAGTGTCATCGCCTCTGTTTTCGATTCAGGTGGAGATAACTTCAATGATTAAGGTTAACTCGGCGGTGAAGGAGGTGGAAGAGCATGATGGAGAAGACGGTGGAGGTGGTGGCTTGATGGCGTCGGTCGTTGAAGAGGGAGAGGCAGGGGAAGGAGGAAAATGGCTGACGGCGGCGACTACGCCTGTTGTGTTGTGAGACGGGGATGGGTGATAGTGGGTTAGATCTGGGCTAGGGTTTTCACTTTGCGGGATCTGGGCTAGGGTTTCAATAGGCAAAGGGTCTTTTGGGCTTGGGGTCCATGACATGTCAACTGTTGGGGCAATTTTTCGGTTTTCGGTTCGGAATTCGGAACCTCGGTTTCGGTTGAGAGAACCTTGGTTTCCGAATTAACCATGTTTCTCTTCCGAATTCCGAACCGAATAACAAAAGTTCGGTTCAATTCGGTTTCGGCTCGGTTTCGGCTCGGTTCGGTTCGGGTTTACCGAACCGGATGCCCACCCCTAGTTCTAACCAATAAAAACCTTGAGATTTATGTTGGATTTATTGGATTATGGATTTGAAGAGTCTAATGTTTGCATGATAGATTTGATGATGGATTTGTTAAATAAATAACTAACCATCAAGGATTTGCAAATCCCAATTACCCGATGCAGGAAACCATAACCAGCCGTCATGCACAAGTCCCGATAATTGGCACGCTTTCGATGACCAGCATCGGTAACAACTCGGCCTGACACAAAACCAGTCATACCAGTCTGAGTCAAAGGTGAATACCCAGTCATATCGACACACACATATCACCCTCTGTCCCATGAATAAAGCAGCAAAGTCGCAAGACGAAAGGCTTCGTAGAAATCCAAAACCTGTAACATATGTCACATAAGGTGTCACGAATGAGGTTATTTCGATGCGTAATGCCCACAGGTAGAGGTGGCAATTGGATCGGATTCGTGGATTCGTGAATTGGATTGGTGGATCCATGGATCAAATAAATTGGATCCAATAGATTGGTGGATTCATGGATTGGTGGATTGATCCATGAATCAAATGACATCCAAGACTTGGACCAATATGTAAGTTTTGAAAAGTTTAGGTACTAAAATGTCATAATGAAAATTTTTATGTACCAAAATGTAATTTTCCAATGATTTTTGTCGTATAAAAATATAAATTTTAGGTACCAAAATGTAAAATATAAAAAATATAGGTACCAAATCGTAATTTGCCATTTGAATCCATGGATTGATCCATGAATCCACCAATCCAATTGGATTTGGATCAAATGAATTGGATTAAGTGGATAATTTGGTGAATGGATTGGATTGAATTGGATTCATGGATTTGGATCCTAATTGCCACCTCTACCCACAGGACATGCCACATTATTATTATTATTGTTGTTGACCACTAGTCCCTCTCAATGATACATGTATCACTTCATCGCCAGAAACATTATGAAATATGAAAGCTGTGAAGTATATTTTAATGATGATTCTGCATCTAGCCAAACTCAAAATTAACAAAGACAAAAAAAGAAAAAACTGCAGGCATTAGTCTCGCTCAAACTGGCCTATAAATTATTACTCATTTCAACTCCCAGTACCATTGCAATTGACAGTCTCCATTATTCCATTTCTCCAGTCGCCAATCCCATAAACTATATCCATAACCATGGCCAAACTACTCTCTCTTCTCCAATATTTCTTCCTCATTCTCGTGATCACTTTCTCCACCGCAAAATCCCATAGCTTCTCCACAAAATCGTCCCGAGAAGCACTCGGACTGATGACGAACCAAGAAAAAATAACCCACCTCCATTTCTACATGCACGACGTCTTCGGCGGCGCCAACGCCACCGCCATCCCCGTCACCAAGATTCTCGACAACAACACGTTCTACGGCGGGATGTTCGTGGCCGACGACCCGTTGACCCTGGGGCCCGACCGGGACTCCGACCCGGTCGGGACCGGTCGGGGGACCTACACGTTCCCTTCCCGAAACGACTTCGTTTTGGAGATGGTGTACAATCTGCGCTTCGCCCACGGGGGCTACAACGGCAGCTCGCTCTGCCTGCTGGGGAACATCTCCCCGACGTCGATCGTGAACGAGGTGGCGATCGCCGGCGGGACTGGGGTTTTCCGGTTCGCTCGTGGATATGCCGTCGCCAAGAGGATCGTGCTTGATTTCAAAGCTCAGCTTGTTGTCCGGGAGTTGAACGTCTATGTTTCCCATTATTAATTGAAGGGGTGTTGACTTTTCTTTCTTTCCTCTTCTTTGTGTTGCAATTAAGAATAAGTTAGTAATGGTGGAATCTTTACCAGTCACAGAGTGTGCTGCCAATTCCGATGATGGTCAACAAATTGGTCAGGAATATTGATGAGATTTTTGTGTTTGCTTCTCTTTGGTCAAATTTTGGATTGTATTATGGATTTTGAAGAATCTATTGCTTGCTTGCCTGTTATGCATGTATCGTGGATTGTTGGGTAATACGTGGTAAAAGTACAATTATGGATTTATGACGATATTCCAAATATCACCAAGTGTTACACTTGGGATTTATAGGTTTGGAAATTACAAGTTTATGAGACCTACTAATTTGAACACTCTAAGTCTATGGCCCCTTAAATTTGGTCTCAAAACATATATAATTTGCACCGGAATCTAATTATAAATACATGAAACAAACCACTCCTTGTAATTTTTTTTTGTTGAAATATGAGTGGCTAGCTACTCCGCTTAGGCCACCAATTGTGTGAAACAATAACTTTGATCAACTGAATACTAAATGCGACTAAAGTACCATATTTGATTACCATTTTCGTTGTTGCCAAAATTTATAGGTTTGTTGGTGGTGGTTGCTTTGCTTGTTATAAAAACTTCATTAGAATGATACATGATATGTATGAATCGAATCCAAGAGTATGTCATGTCGATATATACACTGAACTACATCTTATTGATTATAAGAATTTTATATGTATGAATGCTATGTCGTTTGATTCATTCATAAATTTCTAATTATGAAAATGAGGCTTACTTTTTCAAAGTTTTTTTTCTTCTTAGGATGAACTGTATCTTCCGTAAAAATGAGAAAAAAAGAACTACTTATCTAGAGATAGTTGTATCATGGAAAATTTTGCCTAATAATGAGTCGCATAGTGTAGCCAAGTTCTTGCAGAAACTTTTCTCCAGATTTGGCACCCCCACGAGCGATCATCAACGATCAATATACCCATTTCCAAGAACATTCCAGAAGAACTAGCTTCCAAAAGACAATTATTTTGACAACCTCCACTTTGTATTGCTAGTAAATCGATAGTTGACTTAATTGGCAACCCAGTTCTCTCAGCACCATTTACAATAGCCTTTTGAACATAACTTATCTTTCTGTTGGATCTCACTCACCTTAGCATGTGCTTCATTGAAGTGGGGGGCAAGTTCATGATTATGATTTGCTCCAAAAGAAACAATCTCCAGCAAGCCATCCTTTTTCAGTTGACAAGTCATTGTGCTAAACAACTGATTCTTGTAATTGGTTCACAAAAGCCACATTCTCACGGCTTTTATCAAAACCTTTTTGCCTTCTTTGGAACAACAAAATGTTATTCTCCTCACTTGACCTGCTCGCGTTCGCTTGATATAGCGCTTCTTTACATTTAAACCTATACTGTGGGCATATGCTTTATAAAATTCATACGCACTGTCATTGCCATCGAACTTCATACCTATATATGACACTTCATTTTTTCGGCCATATTATTCATACCTCGTGTTTTGGGACTCATATGACCTGTACTTGGAAGAGAGAAAATAAAATATAAATTATAAAATTATAAGAGCTAATTATACTGCAACAAAATGATCGAATGATCACTCGTATCAAAGCAAGCAATAATACATGGAAAATAGTACCCAACCAAAAATAGTTCCTCAATATCAAAATTGAAAACGTAAAAAAAAAAAACACAAGAACAAATCATTTAACGAAGAATCACGGAAGATTATTCCTATTTGCAGCAACTTTACAAGAACACATACATCATTCCTCATCCTCAATACTCACTAGCACAAACATAATCACAGAAAGAAAAGAAAATAACCTGATGTTGTTGGTAGAGACATGTTCAAATAATTCCAGCTTATAGATAGAGAATCGATTTCTTTTTGTTAAGAGGGGAAATTGAGAGTTACGGCTTCATTGAGGACGGCGTGGGAGGTGTGGTGTGGGGACGGCGGGGGAAGGGGAGAAGGCGGGAGGCTGGGGAGAAGAAGAGCTGTAGTCGGGTGGGAGGGGCGGCTACAATTTCTTGTCCGGAGAAGAAGGGCCGCTGGCAGATACAAGGGGAGGAGAAGGAGGAGGCGTTTGCATTAGGGTTTGCGGTACAATATATAAAAATAATTTTTTAAAGAATAGTAATCAGGTGTGGTATTATTTTCGTTTCTAAAATTATCCTTCATATAATCTTCACCGTCAACTTAAAAATAGGATGAAATAGATATAATTAAGAGGGTAGATGTTAGTAGCCACCGTGGTTACTCAAAATTGAGTAACCACTCTAACGCATTCCTATAGCTAATGGGTGGAAATCCAAATCTAAAAAATTATTAAAAAATAATACAAGCAAGTTGTATCTGTTCCAAAACCCACTCCTTATTAATTGGAAAAAGGAGTAGCACTAAAGGTAAGATAGGCTAATGGTAAAACTGATGGAATAGTGAAAGATTGAGAATTGTATATCCTAGGTTCGATTGAAGCGAGTTTCGTTGGTGTTTCTGGAGGTATGAGGCTGCTGATAGCAAAACTCGGTTGGCATCGAAATTGATTGTAGGTAACCCCAGATTTAGTAGAACCCGCTATAACAAAATGATACGTATTGCCAAAATTCTGGGTAATAGAAAAAGAGTAGCAAAAACTTGTAGTCGTTTCGTTTCCTACTTCTTTACACCGCAACTAAACCAGTGTTTCTTCCTCTTGAGAGCCTTGAGATCCATCTATCTAGGGCTGGCTATCTGGTCCAGACTGTTTGGTTTTACACGAAACCGGACCGTATAACCCGGATCGGGACCGGATAGCAAACAATCCAATCTCATATTCGGGCTTAGATTTGAGGTAAAAAACCGGATAAAGACCGGATAAGAGACCCCCAACACCTAAAATCAAGATCAAATTGGGATCGGATCGGATCAAGACCGGACTATATCCAATCCAATCTTTGGTCCTTATATTCCTGAAAAAACCGGACCGGACCGTATAGCCACCCTACATCTATCCAAATTATACATTATATATAACAGGGAGTGAGAGGGATATAAATGTTGTTTCCTTTTAGAAGAGGAGAAATTTTACAATGCTATATAGTATTGGTACTATATGATTTTGCCTTTATGGTACAACTTAAAATTGTACATTTACGTTATGGTACAATTTCAGATTGTACCTATACTTTTTGTATAAATTTTTTTATGGTACAACTTGAACTTGTACTTTTATGTGATGGTATAACTTCAAGTTGTAAAGTTTTACCATAACATAATGGTACAAATTGCTTTATGGTACAACCTAAACTTATACATTTAATGTTATGGTACAACTTTAAATTGTACATTAAAGCACTAATACTATATAGCATAGTAAAAATTCTCTATGAGTGGCTACTCCGCTTAGTCCACCATATGTGTGACACAATAATTTAGATCACTGGATACTAAATGCGACTAAAGTATCCATATTTGGTGACCATTTTCTTTGTTGCCAAATTTATAGGTTTGTTGGTGGTGGTTGCTTGTTATAAAAACTTCATTAAAATTATAGACAATATGTGTGAATCGAATCCAAAAGCATATCATGTCGATTTAAACATTGAACTACATTTTGTTGATTATAATATTTTTTTTACAAGGTTAAATCAAAATTTTCATTAAGAACGAGCGTCCAAACAAATTGTTTGGTGCATCTCAAACTGATAACACAACCATCAAACAGGGTATCTATCTACTTAAACCATCATCAATCTAATTACCATCCCCCAAGCCCAGCGTATCCAAGCCTTCATTCAATGAATCTATTGTTATCAAAATTACTATTCCATCAAATGATTTTTATTGATCCCTACTAACATGTTGAGTGCTCATCTTACTTTGAATCAATGAATCTAGGAAATGTCATTTGATTTTGGGAAGATACTAATACTGTAAAAAAGTTTGAATTAAACTAAAAACACTACCACCCGTAGAAGAAAAATAGCATACTAGAAAAAGTCCATGTAGATTTATCTAAAGATTGAGAATCAGTCATCTAGTGGGTGGTGAGTAACATAGCCATAGGTTATTCACCTGAAGTAGTGCCCTTAAATACGACAATGATTAATATCCCTTGTTAATGAATGAACAATAATTTTGTTGACATCCTAATGTAGGGCGGTCTGCGAGGGAAGGGGAAGTTCATCCTACAATCCGAATACGGAATATATAAGTTGAAAACTAGTGATTGAAATCGCTTGATCAAGTCTTCGTTCGCGAATAAAACAATGGAATAATAACGGCTAGAATTAGGACTGGAAGTTTGGTTTTGAGATCCGGGATAGCCAAATTCACCACTATTACCTTAACTTCTCTTACCAAGATTTTCGATTATGAAATTAGATATACATGCCAACACCATATAAAATGTTTGGTGTTTGAACCATTATTTAGATTTAGGGCTAATACCACTAGGAAACCCGAACTATTAACTTTGTGTCATTTGTGTCCTAAAGTACTCGATATGACATTTGTGTCATAACGTATGGTTGTTGTGTGTCATTTATGTCCTAGCAATTTTGTTGACCGTTAAAGATAACGGTTGACCTAACGGTCATCAGTGAAATCTTGACCGTTGGTTACATGGCACATATGTGGCGGCCACGTCAGCTGACACATCATATCATTTATGGAAAAAAAAAGTAAAAAAAAATTCTTAACAAAAAGCTTCTTCCCCGGCACTTCCACCATCCTCCGCCGAATCCGACCCTTCGAATCGCGACGTTGAATCCGGACGTCAGCGCTGAAGGAATCCCTTGCGACTTTGAGCTCAATCAGAGGACCCACTTTGCTCGTTTGCCCAAAATTCGCATCTCTAGAAATTATTGGATATGAAATTAGGTTTTGAGGTATTCCTCTTCCCACCTCAAAGCCTATCTCTTCTAGACCCATCTCCCGTTCCCAGCCCACCACCATGAACATCCTCAACAAGCTCGGGTTCGGCGTCCGGTCCCCCAACCCGTCCGCCATGGACCCGACGATTCCCCGCCCCCGGCCAGCAGTTCGGCCAATTCGGAGCTGGGTGCTTCTGGGGAGTTGAATTGGTGTTTAAGAGGGTTTCCGGCGTTACAAAGACGGAGGTCTGGTATACTCAGGGTCTCCTCCACAATCCTACCTACGAGGACATCTGCACCGGTACTACAAGCCACTCTGAGGTGGTTAGGGTTCAGTTTGATCCTAAGGAGTGTAGCTATATACGACGCCCTGCTCAATGTTTTCTGGGCTCGACACGACCCTACTACCATGAATCACCAGGGTTGTTTCTATGATTGTATCTTTTCGATTCTTGGCTACATGTGAATGATTGGGGTTGGATTGTCAGATGGTTAGCGGTTCTTGGGGCTCGTTTGCAGAACTGGGTGATATATGTTTTTCTTGTTTTTGGTTGCTGTATGTGATCTATGTTAGTGAAAGCTTGTGAGTCCTGGAGGAAAATTGCAGAGGAAGGAGAAAGGGGAGAGGTTGGAGGCGGAGAAGGGGGTTGTGAGAGGTGTGATTTTTTTATTTTGTAATTTATAATTTATTATTAGATGAAAAGGTAAATAAAAATTAATATTAAAATTCCATGTCAGATGCCACATAAGCGCTAACTAGACTTTCTGTTAAAAACTAACGGTCAACGCTAGTCAGCTCTAACGAAAAAATAGTTTAGGACACAAATGTCATATCGAATACTTTAGGAAACAAATGACACAAAGTTAATAGTTCGGGTTTCCCAATGGTATAAGCCCTTAGATTTATTTATTTGTTAATTGTGCAGGTATATATTTCGTATATATTTTCAATCACATAATAACATGAGTTGGGTTGAACATGTGAACCAAACCCATTTTTAAATGTGATTATAAGAAACTCTATGTAACATTATCACCTTCAATTCATATAGAACCAAAAAAGTGAAAAATGCTTTTTTGAAGTACAAAATGGAATACAATAGCATGATCAACGAACTCAAATTATATGCGAGTTATGGAAGTTTGCTCTATACGATAACTATACTAGTTCATAGAGGTGTGAAAATAATAGTAGTATAAATGAGTAGAGACTTGTAGTAGCAAAATTTGGGAAAAGGCCAAATGTGAAAGTGTGAAATTATATCAGTAATGGAAGACATAAACATTATACTCCACCACAGCATCTCCGGTCGTCGGATTGAAAGTCCGGGTCCTGGCCTGAGCGTAACCCCTAGCAAACCTGAACACCCCGCTCCCGCCGATGACCGGCATCTCCCTCACCGGCAACATCACCGCGTTCCTCCCCAGGACGCTCAGCGTGCTCCCGTTGAACTTCCCTTCCACAAAAACGAAGTTGAGGGCCATCAGCAGCCCATCTTCGTTCTGCGCGGCCGACCCGTACATCCCCTGGGCCCGGCCCACCACCTTGGAAGTGGGCTCGGGCCCGGCAGTCAGCGGGTCGTCGATCATCGCCAGCATGCCGAAGCCCGTGGACAAGACGCTGGGCGGAGGCGCCCGTACGATTTGCACCGCCGTTGGGTTGGGCCCGGAGACGATGTCGTGGAAGTAGAAGCGGAGGTGGCTGAGCTTCTCTTTCTTGAGGCGGAGCGTCGCCGGAGACAGGCGCCGGGAGAATCCGTCGTGGGATTTCGGCTTCGCGGCGGCCGCGACGGGAGAGAAGGAGAGGGCGGCGGAGGTTAGGAGGACGAGTAGAGTCAGGAGGGAGGAAGAGATCTGGAGAGACTTGGCCATGGCTGAAGCAAAATGTAAGCTAGCTATATGCAGCTGCTAATTACAGTTCTAGGAGATGGGTTATTTATTTGCATTGCTTTCCCGCTTGGAATAATTAGTGGCACGCCACCACTTGGAATGCGACTTGGTGCGTCGGCTTCGAATAATGCTCAGAAATAACAGTGATGGGGAAAATGTAGTCCACACATTGAATATATGGTATTCTTTTCACTGCAAAAAGAAATTACTTTATTTAGGGGTCGGGTTTGGCCTGGTTTGGTTAGGTTTGGCTGACATGGAGGGTTTAAATGACGTGGCGGGTCGGGTCTGGTCAGTAAATTTTCGGGTTAAAAGGTGATAATTAGGCGAATCCATCAGCCACGTCATCACTTAACTGAACGGTTTTTGTAAAGTTAGTGACCAAACATGCAATTAACCCAAAGCTGAAATGACTAATCACGTGCTGCTGCTCATTTGACCAACCTCAAAATTGGGGGAAAACGGGACAACAATAATTTCTCCTTTCCCTTTCCTTCGACGTAGAAAGCTAAAATGAGCAAGACCACATATAATTTCTACATCATATGGTGAACAAGAAGCTTCCGCCATTGCGGGCAGTCAAAGCTTCCGCCACAAATCAGAGAGACTTTTAGAGGAATGGTTTGGACTTTTCGGGTCAGAATTAATCAATGCCATCAAGAAAAATGAGTTAATTAATTTGTAATAACTCTGACATTCACATTCCGGCCTCACCGCCACCTTGTGGCAAACTTTCGGCTGAGCTGGCCCCAAACTCGCATTGCCTTCTAGAAAAAAAATATATTACTCGAGACTAGTTTAGACTGAGTTCTATTAGCGTCACAAAACTTAATACATATTGACCGCTACTAGGGACGTCGTAGGATCATAGAGAAGGGGAATCGATCCATTCAACGGTTACGTCGTAAGGATTGCAAATAGAAGATCGTACTGTAAAAATCAACGATAGAATATTTTATACTAATATCATAGTCAAGTTCTGATTCAACCGATTCATATACCTTCAAATATCATCTACCGATTTAAGCAGCGGTGATAGATTTTTCCGGTTTGGATCGCTGATACGGTTTCACAAACATTGTTTTGTTATCACTACAACAATCTGCATCTTCTGTGACAAGTATTTTCTGTGATGAGGTCAATTCCATCACAAAGATATCTAATTTGATTGGCATCTAACAAACATAATATGTGACGAGAATATACTTTGATGTAACGAAGTTGAGCGTCACCTTTTTTTTTTTTGTGACGAAAATTCCTCATCGCATATAGTGATTGACCTTGCGTGACGAAACCAATGGTTACATAAAATTATTTATAGTAAACTCTTTTTATTCTTTAATAATAATAAAATAATTGCTAATTGCATACGTATTAAATTATCAATTGCATACGTATATATTTCAATATATTTTTTCAATCACGTACATGAGTTGGGTTGAATATGTGAAACCTTTTTTAGATGTGAATAATACAAGAAAGTATATGTAACACAGTCATGTTCATCAGTTCATGTAGAACCGCAAAAGGGGAAATGCTTTTTCGGAAGGAAAAAAAAAACGAGTGTAGATATTAGCAAAATTTGGGATATAAGAGGGCGGCAGTAAACAATCGGAAAAGGGAACTCATGGCGGCCGACGATCGGCCGGAGGAACCAAGTTTGTCAACGTGAAGGTGAAAAGCTAGCTATCAGTAATGGAAGACATAAACATTATACTCCACCACAGCATCTCCGGTCCTCGGATTGAACGTCCGGGTCCTGGCCTGAGCGTATCCCCTAGCAAACCTGAAAACCCCGCTCCCGCCGATGACCGGCATCTCCCTCACCGGCGACATCACCGCGTTCCTCCCCATAACACTCAGCGTGCTCCCGTTGAACTTCCCTTCCACGAAGGCGAAGTTGAGGGCCATCAGCAGCCCGACGTCGTTCAGAGAGGCCGACCCGTAAATCCCCTGGGCCCGGCCCACCAGCTTGGAAGTGGGCTTGGGCCCGGCCGTCAGCGGGTCGTCGATCATCGCCAGCATGCCGAAGCCCGTGGACGAGAGGTTGGCGGTGGGAGGCGCCCGGACGATTTGCACCGCCGTTGGGTTGGGCCCGGAGACGATGTCGTGGAAGTAGAAGCGGAGGTGGCTGAGCTTCTCTTTCTTCAGGCGGAGCGTCGCCGGAGACAGTCGCCGGGAGAAGCCGTCGTGGGATTTTGGTTTCGCTGCGGCGGCGATGGGAGAGAAAGAGATGGCGGTGGAGGTTAGGAGGACGAGTAGAGTGAGGAGGGAGGAAGAGATCTGGAGAAACTTGGCCATGGCTGAAAGGGATATGTTGCTTTCGCAGCTGGAAATTAGAGTTCGAGGAGATGGTGAAAGTGAAGAGAGGGAAGCTACGATGAGTGGCTATTTATTTTGGTTTCGCCACCATTACTCCATTACGCATGCGTGATGCGACTTGGTGCGTCGGTTTCGAATAATGCTGAAAAACGAACAGTGATGGGGGAAATGTATAATGTATTCCATTTTTAGACCACACATTGAATGCATGGTATTCTTTTAACTGAAAAAGAAATCTAATTTTATAGACTTTATGGTCAACTTAACTAATAAGTAATAATATTCGTTCAACTATATATTGAATTGTTATGCAAGGCAAGAACATTCTGATGGAGGGTTGGTGTGCACTGCATGAGTTGAGAAAGGCAATTGATGCGCAATATTAATCGTCTGACAATCGTGTTAGATGAAAAGGATAGTAGTTTGAATGACGAATCGTAATGCATTAATTTGACTCAATTGTATTGGTTTGAGATAATTTGTTTGTCGGGAGAAGAAAATCAGGATGAACCAAATCGACTTGGAGAATTCGAATTGATCCGTTTTGAGACAAAGTCCAATGGATCGAAAAGTGTCTGGCCGCTTCTAACTAGCATCAAGCAATTCCACATTGGGGTGAACAAAACTAACCGCAAACCGACCCACATCTCCAACCCGACCGAACTCACCCTTATTTATAATCGAAATTAAAGTGTAAGGTTGGGTGAGAGTACAACTCACCTCTATTGGGTTGGATGTGAATTTCAGATAACGCAACTCGTAAAATTCGACCCAACCCGGCAACCCGTGTTTGGCTATCTTGTCATATTTTTCTTTTGAGGTTTTCCTAGTCTAATACATTTTTCAACTTAATATTTATGCGTAGATTTAAAATTATGATTCACGTAACCTTTTTCTTGTATACAATTTTAGAAGAACAATATATTATGAATGTGTTAGCTTATAACTTATGAAAAAATTAGATATATGTTGAAGTAAATTGCATTTCATTTAAATCCAAACAAAATTTTTACATATTGATAATTTTTGCCTCGATTTATTTGTTGAAAATTTAATTAGTTATATAATATATTTGTAGTGTAGAATAATTGTCTTTCTTATGTTGGGTTGGGTTTTTTAATTAAAAGTATATGTAATCCTACCCAACCCAATTATAAACAAATCGTAGAGTTATAATTTTTTACATATGTTTAGATTAATATTTCTAAAATCGTAGTATATGAGTCGGATGATTAAAATCATCGAATTCAAATCACCCAAGCCAAGAAAAGGTAATTTAGTGATGGAACGGGCAACTAATGAATAGGTATTCTGTCAAGCTCATTTGGAACACCATGCGTCCTCAGTACAGCAAGGTTGAATGGTTTAAATTGGTTTGGGGGCAGTTCAGTGTTCCCAAGTTCAGTTTTATTGCCTGGCTTATCATTATGGATGCCATTACTACAAAAAGCAAGCTTATGAGATGGGGAAGCTAAATGAAGACCGTTGTGTGCTCTGTCATAGTGCTAGTGAAACGCGGGATCATCTGTTTTTCTCCTGTGAGTTTGTGAAGCAAACAGTGGTTGGGTTCCTTCGCACCGAGTAGATATGTCGATCTAATTGGGCGGAATCGTTGGGTTCCTCTTGCCAAGCTGCTGTGCGTGGCTAGGGAAGTTTCTTCGGAGTAAAGTGGTGTATGCTGATTACATACGTTTGGCAGGAGCGCTGCCGACGAATCCATCATAAACCAAAGCGGGATGTGAATGTGCTGCAGGACTTAATGAGGAACGACTTACGAATGTTGAAAATTTTGTAGCTGTTTGTAGTTACATGTTAGTAGAGTGAGTGGTTAGATGAGGATCTTTCTCTTTTGTTCTTTCCTCAGGGTGGCCACAAATCACAATGGCAACCCTTTTGCTGTATTGATTTTGCAAATTGCAATTTCGATTTACTTAATAGTAAAAGGAAACTAATTCAACGACAAAAAAAACTTAGCCCAAGAGCTGATAAGCAAGCGTGGTCTTTGTCTACTAATAATACGCATGCTTTCAAAAGAACTCATGACCTGCTGGCTGCTGCTGCTCGTTTTCGTTTGACCGACCCCCCAAAGCAAAATTCTCCTCTCCCTTTTCCTTCGATGCAGAAAACTAAAAAGAGCAAGACCACATATGTAATTCTACATCATATGGTGGACGGGAAGCTTCCGGCATCCGCCATTGAGGACAGTCAAAGCTTTTTCCAAGGTGGACGGTAGGCAACCTCCTGCTTTCTAGAAGCCAGAAAGAAAAGAAAAAACAAAGGGACGTGGGAGGAAAGTGGGTTGGTGGAGAAGAAGATTTGCTGGGATCACAATCAGAATTCAGAGAGACTTGAGAGGTTTAGTATCGGTCACGTGACGCGTTTAAGGGAATGGTTTGGACTTTTTGGGGTCAGAATTAATCCTCACCACCGGGCTAGGATCAGGTGATTAGGGGGTCCCCTTAGTCACATGGCTAAGTGAATATCAGTCACTCAACCTCATTAAAATCTAATGGCTCCTATTAGTCCAATTTAATGAAGGGTAATGTAGTAATTTCATGTTTATTTTTAATTTTTAATTATAAAAGAAATAAAAAAAAATTGTTTCGTCCCTTCCCTTTTGCGTCGCCTCCCCGCGCCGCCTCCGGAGATTTTCCGTAGAAAGAATGGGCGCCATTATTCCCATTCCCCGGAGAGAGAGAGAGAGAGAGAGATTTTCTGGTCGGAATTTTTTTTTTCCGGCGACCGGCGACAGTGCTTTGTGATGTTTGTTGACATTAGGGCTGTCAACCGGTCGGTTTCGGTTTAACCGAAAACCGATTTCTCGGTTTTTGGTTAAACCGAGACCAGACCAGCCCTTACCGCCAACCGACCGGCCCTGTGCATCGGTTAGCCGCGAAACCGACCGGGCGGTTTCGGTTAATCTACGGTTAACCCGGCGCAACCGAAATAGAATGGGACAGTTCGGTCTGCTGTGGAACCCGACCGAAAATCGACCAAAAACCGAAAGAAAACCGACCAAAGACCAAACCAAAACCGACCGAAGACTGAAAACCGAGAACCAAGACCGAAAACCGACCTTTAACCGGTCAAAACCGACCAGACAGCAAGGGGAAAAAACCTAAAATCGCCTAAAATTAAAATTTCAAACCTACATTTCAATTCTTTTCGCATCGAAAATACATCTAAATTAGCAACTTAATGTCTCACATTCATTAATTCAACAACATAAACTACACAAATCACAATAAATCCTCTAGATAACAACAAATCAACAACACATCACTTATCACCAGCCTTAGAAGAACCAACATCTGCATAACCCTGTTCCTTCAATACGGGCAACAAGTCATGACCATAATCATCATATCCATCTTTCTCATACTCTTCCTCCGGTGCATCTTCTTCACCCTCCTGCTCATTCTCCACTGGAATGTTGAGGCTTGCATCCGCATTGCCAACATTGCCAGTATTCGTTGCACTTTCCATTCTAGTTTGGAAAGTGACATTAACTGAGTAAGAAAAAAAAACGGAAAACAAAGTGTTAGTACATTCATATATTGAATTAGGTGAAAAGAAGACAAAAAATTGAGCAATAAGAGAGTTTGAGAACTCACTATTTTCCAAAGTCAAATTCTCTTCATCATCTTCCTTGTCGTCAATCTCCCTGGATCCGGGATACCTTATCCAATCCTCAGCACAAATCAATGCCTCCACCATTAGGTCGCTCAAAGAGGACCTGAATGGACTGAGAATCCGCCCGCCACAACTGAATGTTGCCTCTGAGGCAACAGAAGAGATAGGAACAGCTAGGACATCCTTAGCCATCTCAGCAACAATCGGATATATTCCAGAGTGTCGAGACCACCATTCTAATATGTCAAACTTTGCATCATCACTCTCTTCATTGATGCCATCAGTTTGACATTTCAAATAGATGTCAAGCTCAGCATAGCTACCTCCTGTTTCCAGCAGAAGTGCTTCCCTGTTTCCAGCAGAAGTGATATCATCAGCAATGTTATCATCAGTGGTAGGCTGAGATGCTAACTCTGATCCATACTTCCTCTTATAAATCTCAAACATCTGGCGCATCTCCCTTTTAATCGTAGCCTGAATTTCCCATCATTTGGTATTTCCATAAATCATTACCAACACTTCAGACACAAGATCACGCTTACTTCTAGGATCAAGCACACATGCTATATAGATCAAATGATTCACCCTAGGATTCTCCTCATTCATGACAAGTGTATCAAACCAATACTTTTGTACCTTTTCTTCAACCTTTTCTGCCATCCTTTTGAGCTCTTCACGCGGATCATTCTTCAATTCTTGAATGATGTCATAAATTGGAACAAGTTTCTTGAAGAAAAGATGGATAGTCACATATTTAGTTCCTGTACAAATTATAATAGAATACAGGAAATTAGTATGACAAAGCGAAACCCGTATGCATAAACTGCTTAAACCCGTCTCTTTCCACAAAGCGAAAAGACAATTCATCCATTATAATCATCATGGTTAAGGAATATCTTGCTTTTGCTTGATCAAACTTCCATAAAGCACTTACTTGACTTCCACTACCATCGGCGGCCTGCAAGTTTAGAACAGTCTGATCCTTGGATGCTGCAACCTTAGCCAAACAGGATCTCCGATGGTTATTCATTGCAGAAGTGCCATTCTTGGATGGATGTGCTTTGATCTTAGTATGACATGCTTGCACTCTCCAAACGGATACTCATCCACTGCCACCTTCATAAAGTCCTTCCAGCAATCAACTCCACCCTTTGTCTCCAACCATCTCTCTAGATTAAAGGGATCGTCTTTAGTTTTATTTGAAGCCGGATTAATCGTTGATGCTGAAGGAGCCTCAGCAGCAGGTGTACTTCCACTACCGACATGGGCGGGAGTCGATGCAATTGATGCCGACGCTGATGGTTCACCAGACTGAACATGCCGACTTCCTGTACGTCCACCTCCACCACGAGGTCCACGACCCCGATTCTGAGTAGGAGGGGCTGAGGCACCCGCACCACCACGACCTCGAGGAGCCGGAGGTCTCCCACCACGAGAAGCAATCTCAGCGGATGGTGCACCTCGTCCGCCATGTCCACCACGTGGAGCCGGAGGTCTCGCCCTACATCAAATCATCATCATCAATCATCATCAGCAACTAACAATCAATCAATCATCATTCGACATTCATAAACAATCGCCCTA